CTGTACTTTACTTTACTTTATTTTTTGAGATGGAGTCTTGCTCTGTCGCCCAGGCTGGCTGGAGTGCAGTGGCACAATCTCGGCTCACTGCAAGCTCCACCTTCTGGGTTCACGTCATTCTCCTGCCTCAACTTCCCAAGTAGCTGGGACTACAGGCGCCCACCACCATGCCCAGCTAATTTTTGGATTTTTAGTAGAGACCGGGTTTCACCATGTTAGGCAGGATGGTCTCGATCTCCTGACCTCGTGATCCACTCGCCTCGGCCTCCCAAAGTGCTAGGATTACAGGCATGAGCCACCGCACCAGACATAGTACACTTGTTTTGTTTTTGTTTGTTTGTTGAGAGGGAGTTTTTGCTCTTGTTGCCCAGGCTGAATGCAGTGTCATGATTGTGGCTCACTGCAACCTCTGCCTCCTGGGTTCAAGCAATTCTCCTGCCTTAGACTCCCAAGTAGCTGGAATTACTGGTGTCTGCCACCATGCCCGTATAATTTTTTGTATTTTTGGTAGAGACGGGGTTTCACCATGTTGGCCAGGCTGGTCTTGAACTCCTGACCTCAGGTGATCGACCCACCTCGGCCTCCCAAAGTGCTAGTATTACAGGTGTGAGCCACCACGCCCAGCCTGAGCCACCATGCCCAGCCTTGTTTTGTTTTTTGAGACAGGGTCTGGCTCTGTCACCCAGGCTGGAGTGTAACAGTGCAATCTCAGCTCACTGTAACCTCTGCCTCCTGTGCTCAAACCATCCTCTCACCTCAGCCTCCTGAGTAGCTGGGACTATAGGCACATACTACCACACCCAGCTAATTTTTGTATTTTTGGTAGAGACAGGGTTTTGCCATGTTGCCCAGGCTAGTCTCGAATTCCTGGGCTCAAACAATCTGCTGCCTCTGATTCCCAAATTTCTGAGATTACAGGCGTGAGCCACTGTGCCCAGTCAGTACGTTGTTGTTGTTGTTGTTGTTTTTTCTCTAAAGATAGGGTCTTGCTATGTTACCCAGGCTGTTCTTGAACTCCTGGGCTCAAGCAATCCTTCCACCTTGGCCTTCCAAAGTGCTGGGACTACAGATGTGAGCCACCAAGCCTGGCTAAGTCACCACGCCCAGTGCTAGCCAATATACTTGTTTTAATGTACAAATTGGACTTTAGCATTCCTCACACTGAAGTATTTATGGGTAAAATTACACATCTGGGATTTGCTTTAAAAGACTCCAGCAAAACAGAACAAGTGTAGATGGATTGGCAAAATGGTATGCTTGAAGTTCATGACAGGTACGTAGGGGCTCATTATACTATTATCACTAATTTCGTGTGTTTGCTATTTTCCCTAATGTTTTACAATGTAATTGTCAGGTTATCCATTGTTTTGGAAAAATGTATTGGGCAGCTTCACTTTATTTGGGAAACACTGCCCACGGCAAGTCATTTAGACTTGGTAACACACGTGAGGGAGAAACGGATCTGAATTCCAGCTCTGAAACTGAGGTGACAGTTTCATTAAAGGACAGCAAGGGGACAGCGATCATCCCTGCAGAGTCAAAACAGATAATAATGGGACCAGGCACCACTATGACAGGTCAAAAACCCCATCTGGGCAGAGCGTGGTGGTTCACACCTGTAACTCCAGCACTTTGGGAGGCCTAGGTGGGTGGATCATTTGAGGCCAGGAGTTTGAGACCAGCTTGGCCATCACGGTGAAACCCTGTCTCTACCAAAAATACAAAGATTAGCCAGGCGTGGTGACACATGCCTGTAATCCCAGCTCCTTGGGAGGCTGAGGCAGGAGAATTGCTTGAACCCAGGAGGCAGAGGTTGTAGTGAGCCGAGATCACGCCACTTCATTCCAGCCTGGGTGAAACAGCAAAACTGTCTCACAGGCGCGCACACACACAGATGTTAATTATGGCCCATATCACCTTCTCCCTCGGATTCCACTCTTCTAGTTCCAAGGAATTGCTAACACTGGGCAAGTTCAGCCTAGTCCTTCTGTGAGGACGGAAGATGTCGGACTCATCTCCATGAGACTACCACAAACTGTTGTTGAAAGCTTTATTTGTCCTCACTTAGGGTAAATGAAAAATTTCAAGATTTGGCTACAACTTCATTATTCGAAAAGTAGTATTTTACAGAAAGAGAGATTGGGGTACTGGTTCTGAAGACAAAGCTTAGATTCAAGCCCAGCTTCACTATTTATACCAGTCCCCTGATTTTGCTGTTTCCTTACGATATAAGGCACTCAGGAGCACAAGCCAAGCACACAGTAGGTGTTCAGTAAGTGCTGGCGTGATGAAGTTCAAACAGCACCACTGGTAAACTAAGTTTGGATTTCAGAGGTGGAGACTGTGTATGCAGCCTCACAGCTGAGTGGATGCCGTGGTGAAATGTTTAGATCACAGGCCTTTGAGAAGAATTATGAGGATATTAGAGGAACGGGCCTCCTGCGGCACCCAGACATAAACGTTATAGGAGGCTATTTCATCATATAACAACTTCTGGACTTCTAGAAAAGTGAAAAGAGAGGTTTGGGTAAGGAAGATGAAAGCCTTCCCACCACCCTGCATGCTGACTTAGGGCATCCTTCCTTCTACTCTGTTATTAGATCCTCACGATGGCCAAAAAAAAAAAGCATTCTTTAACCTAAACCATCCCCATGGCTCAATCTCTACCCCTTCATCACCAAGGAAAAGCCACTTCTCTTACTTGAAAGATCTGCTGTTCACATAGGCAAACACTACCACAAAGGCTCTCCATCATCCGAATGAAGACACCAATCAAGGACTTTTACCGCAGCTTTGTTTGCCGCATTCAAATTACACAACGTAAGGGGTAAAGGGTACAATATATAAAACCCCCAGCATCAAACAAGCCAAACAAAACACCAGCATCACACATTTCCTCTAAATTCACAGTACAAAAGCAAATTATGGAAATGATGCAGGAGGGAATAAACAATGGCATATTTTCTTCACATCAGTCATTAATATTTATTCCCCTGTGAAATTCATTGTTCTAACTTCCATTATTCAACGTGGAAGTTCTGTCCTTGAGGACACCTAAAATTATGCTATTACATGGCAGCATCAACAGTATCCTTGGCGTTGGGAGAAAAAGCCAAGCTTGCTCTCTATACAAAGCTTGTTCTTTGTACAAAGTTGTTGCTCCATAAATAGTGCAACAATAGGATCAGGCTGGGTGCGGTGGCTCACGGCTGTAATCCCAGCACTTTGGGAGGCCGAGGTGGGCAGATCACCTGAGGTCAGGAGTTCAAGATTAGCCTGTCTAACACGGCAAAGCCCCATCTCTACTAAAAATACAAAATTAGCCGGACATGGTAGTGGGCGCCTGTAATCCCGGCTACTCGGGAGGCTGAGGCAGGAGAATTGCTTGAACCCGGGAGGCGGAGGTTGCAGTGAGCCAAGCTGGTGCCACTGCACTCCAGCCTCACAGAGTGAGATTCCATCTCAGAAACAAAAAACAATAGGATCATTGCACCCTTACCAGGGCTCCTGCAAGGGTCCCCACAAGCCTTGTCCAATGAGGTCCTGAGGTCAGTACAGTCACAGCTGAGCAGGGCACAGGCACTTCTAAGTAGGAAGGCACGACAGTACGAGAGAAGTTTCCAGCATTGGAACCTTTTGCAGTTTACATGACACTTCAGATGAACGAGGTATAGTTTCCCAGAGGAAGTCCAAATTCAGTTCTGATAGCTTCATCTTGCTCTGTCATGACTTTTCAGGGCTCCTTCAACTCTTAAACTCCAAGAAGCTAAGGAGAAAATGACCCTCATCTGCAGTATTTGAGGCTCCAGCCTTTCACTGACTTGGCAGATGGATCCTGAAACCTGCTCGCTGTCAGGCTTTTTTTTTTTTTTTTTTTTTTTGAGATGGAGTCTCGCTCTGTCACCCAGGCTGGAATGCAATGGCACGATCTTCGCTCACTGCAACATTCTGCCCCCCAGGTTCAAGCAATTCTCCTGCCTCAGCCTCCCAAGTAGCTGGGATTACAGGGGTCCACCACGATGCTCAGCTAATTTTTTGTATTCTAAGTAGAGATGCGGTTTCACCATATTGGCCAGGCTGATCTTGAACTCTTGACCTCACATGATCCACCTGCTTGGGCCTCCCCAAGTGCTGGGATTACAGGTGTGAGCCACCATACTCGGCCTTTTTTTTTTTTTTTTGAGATGGAGTTTTGCTCTTTTGCCCAGGCTGAAGTGCAGTGGCATGACCTTGGCTCACTGGAACCTTTGCCTCCCGGGTTCAAGTGATTCTCCTGCCTCAGCCTCCCAAGTAGCTGGGATTACAGTCATGCGGCACCATGCCCAGCTAATTTTTTGTATTTTTAGTAGAGACTCCATCTCAAAAACAAACAAAAACATATTTTAACTTACCATTGATTTTTACTACTTTTTTTTTTTTTTTTTTTTTTTTTTGGAGACGGAGTCTGGCGCTGCGGCCCAGGCTGGAGCGCAGTGGCCGGATCTCAGCTCACTGCAAGCTCTACCTCCCGGGTTTGCGCCATTCTCCTGCCTCAGCCTCCCGAGTAGCTGAGACTACAGGCGCCCGCCACCTCGCCTGGCTATTTTTTTGTATTTTTTAGTAGAGACGGGGTTTCACTGTGTTAGCCAGGATAGTCTTGATCTCCTGACCTCGTGATCCACCCGTCTCGGCCTCCCAAAGTGCTGGGATTACAGGCTTGAGCCACCGCGCCCGGCCTACTTTTTTTTTTTTTTGAGATGGAGTCTTGCTCTGTCACCAGGCTGGAGTGCAGTGGTGCGATCTCAGCTCACTGCAAACTCCACTAACTGGGGTCAAGCGATTCTCCTGCCTCAGCCTCCCAAGTAGCTGGGACTACAGGCACATGCCACCACACACAGCTAATTTTTGTATTTTTAGTAGTGATGGGGTTTCACCATATTGTGGCCAGGATGGTCTCGATCTCTTGACCCTGTGATCCACCTGCCTCGGCCTCCCAAACTGCTGGGATTACAGGCGTGAACCACTGAGCCCAGATGATTTTTACTAAACTTTTAAGCTTTAGTTTAGGCAACAGATCACAACTTCTTTCCCCAGTTAGTAACACCCAGATCGTTTCAGATCCCCAAATGGGAAGTACAAAATATCATGCTGTAGAATTCCTATGTCTTAGCTTCTGCAGTGTTTCTCTGCAAAGGGGCCAGGATGACCCCAGCATTCCTGTCTTCACTCTCAGAGCTGTACAAATTATGCTTTTCAATGTATTCTTGGACAAGATCTGGTACTAAGTAGCGAATGCTCTGGCCCCTTCTGAGGGCTCTCCGGATTTTTGTGGATGAGATGTCATTAGTGATCCATTCATTCACCACGTGAATGTTGCTCTGGTGTTTCCACAGCACATCCGATTCATAGATAAATTTCTGAGCATCATTTCCAGCCCGAGTAACACATATGAGCCCATAGTTGGCCACGATTTGGGTGATGTCTTCACTCTTCCACAAATTGGGAACAGCAAAGGACTCCAATAAATCTGCCCCACACAGCAGCTTGACCTTTGGCACCGCTGGGAAGAATAAAACAGAGCTTTGGGGTATGATTTTTCTTCCCATCTACCTCCTCCAAGTGGAAAGGGGTTTACTTTTCTAATAACCCACTGTATCAAAATGAAGGTATGTACGTGCTTTTCAAGAATGAGGGTTCAGGCGGAGTGTGGTGGCTCACGCCTGTAATCCCAGCACTCTGGGAGGCCGAGGCGGGTGGATCACTTGAGGTCAGGAGTTTGAGACCAGCCTGACCAACATGGTGAAATACCATCTCTACTAAAAATACAAAATTAGCCAGGGGTGGTGGCGCATGCTGGTAACCCCAGATACTCGGGAGGCTGAGGCAGGAGAATCGCTCGAACTTGGGAGGCAGAGGTTGCAGTGAGCCAAGAGCATGCCATCGCACTCCAGCCTGGGCAACAAGAGCAAAACTCCGTCTCAAAAAAAAAAAAGAATGACAGTTTACAGTTTTTATGAGAATCAGATTCCCAAAAGAGACCTAGGACACCTCAAAGATTGGAGACCACTGCAGGAGAAATAAGCTCCCAGTGCCTTTTACTCTCCTTCGCTTCATGAAACTAATAAGGGGCATTTTCCAGACACCCACAAGTGTGCGATATAAAATGAAAATAAAGGCCAGGCATAGTGGCTGACACCGGTAATCCTAGCACTTTGAGAGGCCAAGGCAGGAGGACTGCTTGGGGCCAGGAGTTCAAGACCAACCTGGCCAACATAGCGAGACTCCATTTCTAAAAAACAAAAAAATAAGGCCCAGGCGCCATGGCTCACCCCTGTAATCCCAGCACTTTGGGAGGCCGAGGCGGGCAGATCACAAGGTCAGGAGATCGAGACCATCCTGGCTAACACGGTGAAACCCCATCTCTACTAAAAATACAAAAAAAATTAGATGGGCGTGGTGGCGGGCACCTGTAGTCCCAGCTGCTTGCGAAGCTGAGGCAGGAGAATGGTGTGAACCTGGGAGGCGGAGCTTGCAATGAGCCGAGATCGCGCCACTGTACTCTAGCCTGGGCGACAGAGCAAGATTGCCTCAAAAAAAAAAAAAAAATACACAGGGGTTTGCTCAGCTATAGAATCTTATCAACTCTAGTCCGTGGGTCCTGCTAAAACATACAAACCTTTTGTTTTTGGCTCTAGGGATTTCTTTTGACTAGAATCGTGTTTTTCAGTCCACTTCCTCTTCCTTCCAAGCCTTTCTAGCGTAGGTGAGTTCTGCGGGTGATCACAGTTACTAGCCTCCAATTTCTCTTGATGGTGTCTATAAAACAACAAAACAATAGAATATTTCTCCTTCTCACATGTTCCATTAGAATATAACATGAACACTATTTATAGCGGGCGTGGCGGCTCACGCCTGTAATCCCAGAACTTTGGGAGGCTGAGGCGGGTGGATCACGAGGTCAGGAGATCAAGATCATCCTGGCTAACACGGTGAAACCCCGTCTCTACTAAACATACAAAAAATTAGCTGGGCGCGGTGGCGGGCGCCTGTAATCCCAGCTACTCGGGAGGCTGAGGCAGGAGAATCCCTTGAACCTGGGAGGCAGAGGTTGCAGTGAGCCAAGATTGCACCATTGCACTCCAGCCTGGGCGACAGAGTGAGACTCCATCTCAAAAAAAGAAAAATATATATATATATCATTAACATTACTTATTTATTTATTATTTTGAGATGGTGCCTTGCTCTGTTGCCCAGGCTGGAGTGCAGTGTACAATCTTGGCTCACTGTAACCTCTGGCTCCTGGGTTCAAACAATTCTCTTGCCTCAGCCTCTTGAGCAGCTGGGATTACAGGTGCACACCACCACACGCGGCTAATTTTTTTGTTATTTTTAGTAGCGATGGGGTTTCACCATGCTGGCCAGGCTGGTCTTGAACTTCTGACCTCAAGCGACCTGCCTACCTCAGCCTCCCAAAGTGCTGGGATTACAGGCCCCTGGCCAACAATATTTATTATATGCCACACATTGCACTGAATCCTTTACATGGATTATCTGATTAAGTCTTCTCAACATAAGATGACTGTTGTGGAAGACTAAAAAAATTAAAAATCTTCTCTGCTGGGCATGGTGGCTCACGCCTGTAATCCCAGCACTTTGGGAGGCCAAAGCAGGCGGATCACCTGAGGTCAGGAGTTTGAGACACAGCCTGACCAACATGGAGAAACCTGGTCTCTGCTAAAAATACAAAATTAGCTGGGTGTCGTGGTGCACGCCTGTAATCCCAGCTACTCGGGAGGCTGAGGCAGGAGAATCGCTTGAACCCAGGAGGTGGAGGTTGCAGTGAGCCATGATCGCGCCATTGCACTCCAGCCTGGGCAGAAGAGCAAAATTCTATCTCAAAAGAAAAAAAAAAATCTTCTCAACATCCTGTGTCATAAATATTATTATCTCCATAAGGGAGGGGAAAAAGGAGGCTTACAGTTGCAACTCCAGCTCCTAGCACAGTCTATGAAACACAGGAGGCATTCAATAACAATTTGATTGAGTGAATGTTTTGGGGTTTTTTTGGTTTGTTTTTTAGAGACACAGGCTCACTCTATTGACCAGGATGGAGCGCAGTGGCACAATCGTAGCTCGCCGCAACCAAGAACTCCTGGGCTCAAGTGATCCTACTGCCTCAAACTCCCAAATAGCTGGGACTACAGGAACGTGCCACCATGTTCAGCTATGCTTTGTTTTTTTGAGAGATGAGGCCTCACTATGTTGCCCACACTGGTCTTGAACTCCTGGCCTCAAGCAATCCTCCTGCCTCAGACTCCCAAAGTGCTGGGATTACAGATGTGAGCCACCATGACCAGCCTGAACGTTTTGGTTATTACAAAGCGACTATATTATTGCCACCTTGCAGCTAGTTTCACTGAAAATACTTCTGATTTTAATATGCTGCTCATCTCTTGTATCAGAATTGTTTATTACCCCATTGAGAGAGGACACTGACTAATTTGCCTAAGGTCATTTAACTTACAAGTATTAACAGCAGAGCTAGGACTTGAACCCCAGCAGTCTGGTCCAGAGCCCACACTCTTGATCACTGAAAAGTGTGGCTTAATCTTGTAACAAAGAACCAGAACACCAAGGAGAAGGTCCTAGAGCGGCAAGGGCCTGAGGCCTTAAAGGAAGGGGCCCTAAGCAGGATTTGTGTATAGCTCTATTCTGGGCTGGCAGCAGGGTGCCCACTGTTTCCAAACTGTGCAATGTTACCCAAATAACATCAACTACACTTGTGGGATCCAACTGTGGGCCTTTATTCCCCTACATCCCAACCCTGATGACTATTTAATGGGCGATAAGATTACTATAAAGCCAGAGGGTTGGGTAGGGCTGTGGCCCAGGAACTTGGTCCCTCATGGGATAAATTTTTGCCATCAAGCAGTGGAGACTCTTCTCCCTGCCAAGTCTGAAAAGGAAGTCCTCTTGAGAGATCACTGTGTGAGATATCTCCTACTGGCTCAGTGCCCAATCCTGCCCAACACACTTCCCAGAGGTCCTTGCAGCAGGTTCTGGACTTGACTGCGATTCTGCTAATGAGGTTCTCTCCTGAGAGATTTGGAAGGCAGAAGGAGGACAGAGGCCATTGTCCTGGGACTGTGGAGCTTGATAAGTAATCCCTTTTTTTTTTGAGACTGAGTCTCGCTCTGTTGCCCAGGCTGGAGTGCAGTGGCGCAATCTCAGCTCACTGCAACCTCCACCTCCTGGGTTCAAGCGATTCTCCTGCCTCAGCCTCCCAAGTAGCTTGGACTACAGGCATGTGCCACCACGCCCAGCTAATTTTTGTATTTTTAGTAGAGACAAGGTTTTGCCATGTTGGCCAGGGTGGTCTCGAACTCCTGACCTCAGGTGATCCACCCACCTTGGCCTCCCAAAGAGCTAGGATTACAGGCGTGAGCTATGATGCCCAGCCTGATCCTTTTGTTGCGCTATTTATAGCCAGTAATCCTTTCTAGTATGGGTGTGGTGGCTAGACGCTGGAGTCCACTGTCCGGTTACCAACTTCAGGAGACTGAGACAGTTCAATAGCAGCAGAAGCAGAATTGGTTTGTTGAACTCTGATGGCAACATCAGAGGAGTGACCTTGACTTACACTTCTCCATCTCTTTTACTTTTTTTCTTTTGAGACAGTCTCACTCTGTTGCCCAGGTTGGAGTGCAGTGGCACAATTTCAGTTCACTGCAACCTCCGCCTCCCAGGTTCAGACAATTCTCCTGCCTCAGCCAACCTAGTAGCTGGGATTACAGGCATGGGCCCAGCTAATTTTGTATTTTTAGTAGAGACAGGATTTCACCATGTTGGCCAGGCTGGTCTTGAACTCCTGGACTCAGGTGATCTGCCTCAGCCTCCCAAGGTGCTGGGATTATAGTCATGAGCTACCACGCCCGGCCTCAGCTCTTTTAAGTACTTTTTGCCCAAGTACTTAAATCTTTTTCCACTTAAAATACCCAGAGTGGTTTCTATTTCCTAGTCTGAACCCTAAATGATATGGTTAGTAACTGGAAGGTTCAGAACTCTAAGAACAGATACTAAACAGAAAGTCTTTTCAGAAAGCCCTTTCATTTTAAACTCAAGATAACAATAGGCCAGGCATGGTAGCTCACATTTGTAATCCCAGCACTTTGGGAGGCCTCGGTGGGAGGATTGCTTGAGGCCAGGAGTTTGAGATCAGCCTAGGCAACATAGCGAGGCCCCATCTCCAGCAAAAGAAAGAAAAGAAAGTTTAAAAAAATCAAAATAACATTAAGAAATAACTAGGTGTCAGCCAGGCACGGTGGCTCGCCTCTGTAATCCCCGCGCTTTGGGAGGCTGAGATGGGCAGATCACCTAAGGTCAGGAGTTCAAGGCCAGTCTGGTCAACAGGGTGAAACCCCAGTTCTACTAAAAATACCAAAATAGGCTGGGCGTGGTGGCAGGCGCCTGTAATCCCAGCTACTTGGGAGGCTGAGGCAGGGGAATGGCTTGAACCCGGGGGGCGGAGCTTGCAGTGAGCCGAGATCATGCTGTTGCACTCCAGCTTGGGCAACAAGAGTAAAACTCTACCTCAAAAAAAAAAAAAAAAAAAGAAAGAAAGAAAAAGAAATAATTAGGTGTTGGGAGGCTGAGGGATCACCTGAGGTCAGGAGTTCAAGACCAGCCTGGCCAACAAGGTAGAACCCCATTTCATTTTTTTTTTTTTTTTTTTTTGAGATGGAGTCTCGCTCTGTCGCCCAGGCTGGAGTGCAGTGGCCGAATATCAGCTCACTGCAAGCTCCACCTCCCGGGTTTACGCCATTCTCCTGCCTCAGCCTCCCGAGTAGCTGGGACTACAGGCGCCTGCCACCTCGCCCGGCTATTTTTTTGTATTTTTTAGTAGAGACGGGGTTTCATCGTGTTAGCCAGGATGGTCTGGATCTCCTGACCTCGTGATCCGCCCGTCTCGGCCTCCCAAAGTGCTGGGATTACAGGCTTGAGCCACTGCACCCGGCCCCCATTTCTACTAAAAATACAAAAATTAGCCGGGTGTGGTGGCGGGCACCTGTAGTCCCAGCTACTCAGGAGGCTGAGGCAGGAGAATTGCTTGAACCTGGGAGGCAGAGGTTGCAGTGAGCCGAGAATGCGTCACTACACTCCAGCCTGGGTGACAGAGCAAGACTCCGTCTCAAAAAAAAAAAAAAGAAATAATTAGATGTCACTTACTCTGGTTTTTGAACCCTTAACTAGAATCGCTTCAAAGGTATGGGCACAGAGATCTATGACTCCCTCCAGATGCTGTCATGGAAGCAGCACACAAATCAGGCCTGTCCATGATCATGCAGCACTTGATGCTTCTCTTCCTTAAATTATCTGCCTGTCTCTTTTTTTTTTTTTTTTGAGACGGAGTCTCGCTCTGTCACCCAGGCTGGAGTGCAGTGGCGTGATCTCCACTCACTGCAAGCTCTGCCTCCCAGGTTCATGCCATTCTCCTGCCTCAGCCTCCTGAGTAGCTGGGACTACAAGTGCCCGCCACCACACCCGGCTAATTTTTTCTGTTTTTTTTTTTTTTTTTTTTTTGAGGCGGAGTCTCGCTCTGTCGCCCAGGCTGGAGTGCAGTGGCCGGATCTCAGCTCACTGCAAGCTCCGCCTCCCGGGTTCCCGCCATTCTCCTGCCTCAGCCTCCCGAGTAGCTGGGACTACAGGCGCCGCCACCACGCCTGGCTAATTTTTTTTGTATTTTTAGTGGAGACGGGGTTTCATTGTGTTAGCCAGGATGGTCTCGATCTCCTGACCTCGTGATCCGCCCGTCTCGGCCTCCCAAAGTGCTGGGATTACAGGCTTGAGCCACCGCGCCCGGCCATTTTTTCTGTTTTTAGTAGAGACGGGGTTTCACCGTGTTAACCAGGATAGTCTCAATCTCCTGACCTCGTGATCCGCCCGCCTCGGCCTCCCAAAGTGCTGGGATTACAGGCGTGAGCCACCACGCCAGCCGCCTGTCTCTTACACTTAGACTGATGATAATAACATCTTCTGGCAATTTTGCCTTTCTCATTTGGGGCACAGACAGGCCAGGCAGGCTTCCTCTATTTTCTAACAGTGATATCACATAGTAGCAAGCATGCAAACATCTTTTTTTTTTTTTGAGATGGAGTCTTGCTCTGTCACCCAGGCTGGAGTGCATAGGCACAATCTCAGCTCACTACAACCTCCAACCCTGGGGTTCAAGCAAATCTCCTGCCTCAGCCTCCCAAGTAGCTGGGATTACAGGCGTGTGCTACCATGCCCGGCTAATTTTTGTATTTTTAGTAGAGACGGGTTTTCACCATGTTGTCCAGGCTGGTCTCAAACTCCTGACCTCAGGTGATCCACCTGCCTCAGCCTCCCAAAGTGCTGGGATTACAGGCGTGAGCCACCGCGCCTGGCCGCAAACAACTTAAAACATAATGAAAGACACAGAAGGGCTAAGGAAGATCCATCCTTTGGTGCTGTGCTCTACAGTCTTGTAGTAACCCTCCACAGGAATGGCTTACAACACACGTGACAGTTTTGCAAATCTGTATGGTCACAGACGTAAGCAACGTTGAAACATGGTAAAAACATAAGCCGCTTAGCCATTTACACAGAACTGACAAAGTTGATTACACCATAAATACCTTAGCACCTTAAGAGTCTCTTTCCACTCCTTCTGAAGACTTTCCCATGTATCGACTTCCACCCATTTGGAATTCTTGGTGGCAAGTTCTGCCATGATGACCCGGTGATACGCAGGAATGAGTCCTTTCTTCTTGTAGGCATCACCAACAGGAGAGATGATGCCTTTGACAACTGTGTATCTTCCTGGATAAAGAGTTAGGTTTCACACTAGGTATAACAAATTCAATTTTATACACGATCAATATTATTTGTTTTGTTTTGTTTGTTGAGACAGAGTCTTGCTCTGTTCCCCAGGCTGCACTGGCGTGATCTCGGCTCACTGCAACCTCTGCCTCCTAGGTTGAAGCGATTCTGACTCAGCCTCCCAAGCAGCTGGGATTACAGGCGCATATCACCATGCTGGCTAATTTTTGTATTTTTAGTAGAGACGGGGTTTTTACCATGTTAGCCAAGAGGTCTCCAACTCCTGACCTCAAGTGATCTGCCTGCCTCAGCCTCCCAAAGTGCTGGGACTACAGGCATGGTCACCATGCCTGGCCAATATTGTTTTATAATCACAGATTCTCTTTCTTTAGGGATTCCAGCTTATTAGCTGAATGATCAATTAATTGACTGAAATTATGGTAAAATAAACCCGAGTGTACAGTTCTATGATATTAAGTACAAACACGCTGTTGTGCAACCATTGCTCCTATCCATCTCCAGAATTTTCTCATCTTCCCCAACTGGAACTCTGTACCTCACCTCATTCCCCTATACAGTTAAATTTCTATTGATATTGCCAAATTACTTTGTAAAAAGCCTTAATTTGTATTGTCCACCTAGATGTATGCAAAAGCCTATTTCTCAATGTCATAGGCAAATAGTGAGCTTTAGCAGCCATCCATCCATCTACCTATCAGCATATTATATGATCATTTATGTAACAAAAAAATCGAGGCCAGGTGTGGTGGCTCACATCTGTAATCCCAGTGCTTTGGGAGACCGAGGCAGGAGAATCACTTGAGCCCAGGAGCTCAACACCAACATGGGCAAAATAGTGGGACCCAGTTTCTACAAAAAATTTAAAAATTAGCCAGATGTAGTGGCATGCCTGTAGTCATAGCTACTTAGGAGCCTGAGGCAGGCGGCTCACTTGAGCCCAGGAGGTAAAGGCTGTAGTGAGCTGTGATCTTGCCACTGTACTCCAGCCTGCCCAGCCAGGGTGACAGAGTGAGAACCATTTCCAAAAAAAAAAATCTGTGTTATACACACAAATGTTTGCATATAAATTCATACAAAGAAGAGTGGAAGGATATACATTAAACTGTTATGGTTATGTTATGTTACAGTGGCTCATGCCTGTAATTCCAGCACTTTGGGAGGCCGAAGTGGGAGGATCATTTGAGAACAGGAGTTCAAGAGCAGCCTGGTCAACATGGTGAAACCCCATTTCTACTAAAAATACAAAAATAGGCTGGGCATGGTGGTGTGCGCCTGTAATCCCAGTTACTGGGGAGGCTGAGGCAAGAGAATCGCTTGAATCCAGGAAGTGGAGGTTGCAATTAGCCAAGACCGGGCCACTGTACTCCAGCCTGGGCGACAAAGCGAGGCTCTATAGAGTCGAGGTATTGCCACATTGGTCAGGCTGATCTCAAACTCCTAACCTCAGGTAATCTGCCCCCTCTGCTTCTCAAAGTGCTGGGATTACAGGTGTGAGCCACCACGCCCAGCCTATTCATGCATTGTTTTTTTTTTTTTTTTGAGATGGAGTCTCCCCTGTCACCCAGGCTGGAGTGCAGTGGCACCATCTCGGCTCACTGCAAGTTCCACCTCCCGGGTTCACACCATTCTCCTGCCTCAGCCTCCCGAGTAGCTGGGACTACAGGCGCCCGCCACCACATCCGGCTAATTTTTTTGTATTTTTAGTAGAGATGGGGTTTCACGGTGTTAGCCAGGATGGTCTCAATCTCCTGACCTTGTGATCTGTCTGCCTCAGCCTCCCAAAGTGCTGGGATTACAGGCATGAGCCACCACACCCAGCCTCATTGTTTATGAAAACTTTTAGCTGGGTGTGGTGGCTCATGCCTGTGATCTCAGCACTTTGGGAGGCCTGAGGTTAGGAGTTTGAGACCAGCCTGACCAACATGGAGAAACCCCATCGCTACTAAAAATACAAAAAATTAGCTGGGCGTGGTGGCACATGCCTGCAATCCCAGTTACTCAGGAGGGTGAGGCAGGAAAATTGCTTGAACCCAGGAGTTGGAGGTTGCAGTGAGCCAAGATTGTGCCATTGTACTCCAGCCTGGGCAACAAGAGTGAAACTTCATCACAAACAAAAGAAAAAGAAAGAAAGAAAAAAGAAAACTTAAAAAGCCGTGTCTGATCCTGGAGGTTTTATGTATGCTAAAGTACAAGCTTTCGCTCTTTGCCTTAAGTAATGGGAAACTCCTGAAGTAGATTAAGCACAGGGATGACAGAATCTAATTCCTTTTTTCTTGGAGGGGTGGTCAGGGTCTTGCTCTGATGTCCAGGCTGGTGGGCAAAGGTGCAATCATGGCTCACGGTAGCCTAGACCTCCCGGGCTCAAGCAGTCCTCCTACTTCAGTCTCCTGAGTAGCTGGGACCACAGGCACATGCCACCATACCTGGCTAATGTTTATAATTTTTTTGTAAAGATGAGGTCTCTCTATGTTTCCCAGGTTGGTCTCAAACTCCTGGCCTCAAGTGATCCTCCCACCTCAGCCTCCCGAAGCACTGCAATTACAGGTGTGAGCCACTGTACCTGGCGTATTTTCTATTCTACAGGTCATAGCCAGATGCTCAATTCTTCCCTCATACTTCACCCTCTTTCTTGGCTAAGAATTCACTGTACAAGGGAGCAAGACAGCATGTTTGTGCCCAGTGGATGAAATGTGTATTCTGAAACAGACCTAGCCATGCTGGTTCTCTAGTCTTTCTATTTTTTTGAGATGATGTCTCACTCTGTCTCCAGGCTGGAGTGCAGTGGCGCGATCTTGGCTCACTGCAACCTCTACCTCCCAGGTTCAAGCAATTCTACTGCCTCAGCCTCCTGAGTAGCTGGGACTACAAGCACAGCTAATTATTGTATTTTTTAGTAGAGACGGGGTTTTACCATGTTGGCTAGGATGGTCTCAATCTCTTGACCTCGTGATCCGCCCGTCTCAGCCTCCCAAAATGCTGGGATTGCAGGTGTGAGCCACCATGCCTGGCTGGTTCTCTAGTCTTAAGTTGTTTTTGGCTACTGCTCCTACCTGTTCCATTCATGTAGTCCTTGGCCAGCTCAAACAACCTGAGGTGCATGTTGGTGATGGGATTGAAGGAACCACAAGCAAGGAGAACCACTTCAGTCTTCTCGGAATTTTCCATGGTAAGAACTTGAAGTTGTTGATCTAAATGGAAAACTGTGACACCTCCCTTGCTGTCTACAAAGGAAAAAGAAAATAAATTCGGTTACACATTTTTTTTTTCTAAGATGAGGTCTTGCTCTGCTACCCTGGCTAGAACATAGTGGTGCAACCACAGCTGACGGCACCCTCAGACTCCTGGGCTCAAGTGATGCTCTCACCTCAGCCTCTAAAGTAGCTGGGAACACAGGCACATACCAAATAGATGGGCTAATTATTTTAAAAACTAATTTTTGTAGAGATGGGGGTCTTGCTATGTTGCCCAGGCTGGTATCAGACTACTAGTCTCAAGCAATCCTTCCACCTCAGTCTCTCAAAGTGCTGGGATTACAAGCATGAGTCACCACGCCCAGCCCAGTTATAGGTCTTTTGATGTCCTTCCATGTTCTCATTCACAATAGATGGACTAAAAGTATTTGGCTTAGGCCGGGCTTGGTGGCTCATGCCTGTAATCCCAGCACTTTGAGAGGCTGAGGTGGGCGGATCACGAGGTCAGGAGATCAAGACCATCCTGGCTAACACAGTGAAACCCCGTCTCTACTGAAAATACAAAAAAATTAGCCAGGCGAGGTGGCGGGCACCTGTAGTCCCAGCTACTCGGGAGGCTGAGGCAGGAGAATGGCGTAAACCCAGGAGGCAGAGCTTGCAGTGAGCTGAGATCCGGCCACTGCACTCCAGCCTGGGCAACAGAGTGAGACTCCTTCTCAAAAAAAAAAAAAAAAAAAAAAAAAAAAAAAGGATTTGGCTTCGGCTGGGCGCAGTGGCTCACACCTGTAATTCCAGCACTTTAGGAGACTGGGGCAGGTGGATCATGAGGTCAAGAGATTGAGACCATCCCGGCCAACATGGTGAAACCCCATCTTTACTAAAAATACAAAAATTAGCTGGGTGTAGTGGCACACGCCTGTATTCCCAGCTACTTGGGAGGCTGAGGCAGGAGAACCACTTGAACCTGGGAGGCGGAGGTTGCAGTGGCCAAGATCGCGCCATTGTACCCCAGCCTGGTGACAGAGCGATACTCCATCTCAAAAAGAAAAAAAAATTTGGCTTCAATCATTATGCTAACTGTAAAAATGCTTCCACATCTCCCTCCCTCCTTTTCAATGTGAAATTTGCAGCTCCCACCATGAAGAGATGGAAGTGACTTCTCCACGTTTTTTGACTTGCTTTGGCCAAAAGAATGTGGCACAAGTGATAGTGTGGAGGATGCCAGAACACGTGGGAGCGCAGCAATGCTCCCACTGATAGACATCCAACCCCCGCCCCCATGTGGGGAACACGGCCATCCCCGACCAGCCAACAACTACAGTCCCTCTGCTCAGACACATGAGCAGACCCAAGTGAGGTCAACCAAACCTGGCTCAGATCGTCAAGCCAACAAGCTGACCTAGTCTCAAAAACAAAAATTAGTGTTCATTATCATATGTCACTCAAGTTTTGTGGTCGCACTATTGTGGCCACAGTTAATTAACACAACATTATCATCTACCAAATATAGCATTTTTAATCAACATGATAGTAACATCATAATTTTCCACTGAATAGAATTTACAAACCTCTTTTTCATATCAATTATTCCACTGATCCTTCCATAACCCTAATGAAGTGACATAAGGCATCCAATTTTAAATTTTTATTAAAATTTCTTTTTTTTTTTTGAGACGGAGTCTCGCTCTGTTCCCCAGGCTGGAGTGCAGTGGAGTGATCTCAGCTCACTGTAAGCTCTGCCTCCCGGGTTCACACCATTCTCCTGCCTCAGCCTCCAAAGTAGCTGGTACTACAGGTGCCCACCACCATGTCTGGCTAATTTTTTGTATTCTTAGTAGAGACGGGGTTGGCGGGGTTTCACCACGTTAGCCAGAATGGTCTCGATCTCCTGACCTTGTGATCCGCCCGCCTCGGCTTCCGAAAGTGCTGGGATTACAGGCATGAGCCACCGTGCCCGGCCTAAAATTTCTTATTCAACTAATTCATATATATAGATCTAGAACATCACAAGGTAAAAAAAGCCAATAATGAAAACCAACAGCCATCAATCATATCCCACTCACCATCCCTTCCATCCAGGTCCCTAAGGCAACCACTTTTAACTTTTTCAGCTATTTCTTCCGGTAGTTTCTACCATAACTCTATATTATGTGCTTATAATGCCATCTCTGAATTTATCCCACTTAAACAGTGCCCATTGACTTTCTTTTATGATCTATAAAGATAAGCTCTCATACCCTTTCACTACCTTCTCCCAAACTGCCCAATACAGTTTATCTCCAGACTATGTTGAAAATCATTTTCTCCCACAACTTCGAAGGCATTGCTTCTAGATTCCAACGTTAATGGCATGAAATCCAAAGCCACTTCTAATTCCGGAGGTTTTGAATATCATTTTTTTTTCCTGCCTCGAAGCCTGTAAGGTCTTCTCTTTGTTCGCAGTGTTCTGAAATTTCACAATGCTATCCTCTAGTGCAGCTTTGTTTCCATCCGTCATGCTGAGCATGGGGCAGGGCCTTTCCGTCTTGAAACTCGTAACATTCAGGTCTAGCAAATGTCCTTGAATTCTTTTATTGATGATTTTCTGCCTTCCATTTTCTCTGTTCTTTGGAAATGTCTATTATTTATTATTATTATTATTATTTTTGAGACACAGTCTCCCTCTCTCACCCAGGCTGGAGTGCAGTGGCACGATCTTGGCTCACTGCAACCTCCACCTCCCAAGTTCAAGCAATTCTCCTGCCTCAGCCTCCCAAGTAGCTGGGACTATAGGCATGCACCACCACACCCAGATAATTTTTGAATTTTTAGTAGAGATAGGGTTTTACCACGTTCGCCAAGCTGGTCTCGAACTCCTGGCCTCAAGTGATCCACCTGCCTCAGCCTCCCATGAGCCACCGTGCCTGGCCTGAAAATGTCTATTATTTAAATCTGAAGCATCTAATCATTTTTTCTGTATTTTCCACCTCCTGCCTTCATGCTCTAATTTCCAGATAGCCTCAATTTCATCCTCCAATCTGCCTAGTTTTCATTTGTGCCGTTACACTCTTAATTTCCAAGAGCCCTATCCTCTGAATATTCCTGTTTACGGTATTCTACTCGTTTCCCCGACAGATTATCATCTCTATTTCTCTACCAATATTCATAATATATTTTAAAGTTTCTTCAAAAAGAGCTGATAGGACAGGTTGAGTGGGTAGGTAGGGTTTGTGCACAGTGGCCATCACTGTTCAGTAACCTGTCAGTACTGCAGGTCTTTCTACTTGAATTAGTCAGACTCCAAAAGAATGTATCCTACAATTTCCTGCCTATATAACAGAATAGTTAAGAGCCTATGCTCTGAAATTAGCTGCCTGGCTTCAAATTGCAGCTCCAACTGCATGACCTTGGGCAACCTAACTAACTTAACCTTCCTTTTGTCCCAGGTTTTTTTTCTTTTTTTTTTTGAAACAGAGTCTTGCTGTGTCACCCAGGCTGGAGTGCAGTGGTGCGATCTCAGCTCACTGCACCCTCTGCCTTCTGGGTTCAAGTAATCCTCCCTGCCTCAGCCTCCCAAGTAGCTGGGAAGCTGGGATTACAGGTGAGTGCCACCACACCTGGCTAATTTTTTTTTTTTTTTTTGAGATGGAGTCTTGCTCTGTCACTCAGGCTGGAGTGCAGTGGTACGATGTCGGCTCACTGCAAGCTCCGCCTCCTGGGTTCATGCCATTCTCCTGCCTCAGCCTCCCAAGTAGCTGGGACCATAGGCGCCCACCACCACGCGCAGTTAATTTTTTGTATTTTTAGTAGAGACAGGGTTTCACTGTGTTAGCCAGGATGGTCTCGATCTCCTGACCTCGTGATCCGCCCGCCTCAGCCTCTCAAAGTGCTAGGATTATAGGTGTGAGCCACTGTGCCTGGCCTAATTTTTGTACTTTTAGTGGAGTCGGGGTTTCACCTCATTAGCCAGGCTGGTGTCAAACTCCTGACCTTAAGTGGTTCATCTGCCTCGGCCTCCCAGAGTGCTGGGATTACAGGCGTGAGCCATCGTGCCCACCTTGTCCCAGTTTTCATCAATCTTAAAAAGGAGAAAATAATACTACCCCCCTCCTGATTGTTGTGAGGATTAAATGAAACAATACAGATCCAGGACATACAACTACATTTGGCAGGCCAGGCACGGTGGCTCACGCCTGTAATCCCAGCGCTTTGGGAGGCTGAGACAGGCGGATCACCAGGTCAGGAGATAGAGAACATCATGGCTAACATGGTGAAACCCCGACTCTACTAAAAATACAAAAAAATTAGCTGGGCATGGTGGCGGGCACCTGTAGTCCCAGCTACTCGGAAGGCTAAGGCAGGAGAATGGTGTGAATCCGGGAGGTGGAGCTTGCAGTGAGCTGAGATCGCACCACTGCACTGCATCCTGGGCAACAGAGTGAGACTCCATCTCAAAAAAAAAAACTACATTTGGCAAATAGCAAATATGCTATGAATATAGCTATTATGAACGTTGCATATTATGCTACTAGAATTGTCTTTTGTTTTTTGATTTTTGAGACAGTATCTCACTCTGTTGCCCAGGCTGGAGTACAGTGGTGCAATCTCAGGTGACTGCAACCTCTATCTCCCAGGATCAAGTGATCCTTCGACCTCAGCCTCCCAAGTAGCTGGGACTACAGGCATGCACTGGCTGTTTTTTGTTTTGTTTTGTTTTTTTGCATTTTTTGTAGGGATGGGGTTTCGCATATTGCCCAGGCTGGTCTCAAACTCCTGGGCTCAGAATCTAGAAGCGAACCTGCCCACATTGGCCTTCCAAAGTGCTGGGTTTACAGGTATGAGCCACTGTGCTCAGCAAGCAAAATTTTTTTTTTTTTTTAATCAAGAAAACATCAATTTCAAATGGTTTAACCTACAATTGCTATTCTACTCAATCTGTTTTTTTCCCAGAGGATTTTCTTCCTGGAACTCTCCTCCTATCTAGATGAAAAATCTCTATTTGTGAAGCTATTATTCTGAAAACTTCTTCATCTCTCTCCTGGGTTAGATCC